CCGGAAGTGCAAAAACGCAAAGCAAAGTTACGCCCCCTGTCATAATTGTTTTGCACGTAAAACGTAAAGTTTTCCGATCAAAACGCTCGCTACAAAACTCGTAAACAACTTGTTTTCGCGGCGTGGGGTAACGCTTGAATGCAAATGGTAATATGCATGGGAACTCTTCCAACCTTTTAAACGAGTTAATTTTTTGTTCTTCACATCCTTTTGTATCAATCAGCAAGGCAAGACGACGTAACAGTTTTGTACTATTTCAACAGTGTCATCTTGTTGTCCTTGTTGAACAAGTGTCATCTTGTCCTTGCTGTTCATCTTATCCTTATGAACCAGGCTATACATCACGTCATTACGACGAAACCAATTTCTATTTTATTACCAAACATAAGCAGGACTACTTCAGGAATTCGTTTTTCGTAAGTTCCCAAATCTGTAGAACCATCATCGCAACTTAAGAGTTGTACATCAATATCTGCATTTACTTCCAGACTCCGTAAAATGTATTCGTGTATTGTGTTTGGTCGATGTATATATATATATATATATATATATATATATATATATATATATATATATATATATATATATATATATATATATATATATATATATATATATATATATATATATATATGTAGTATTTTAACTTAAAATTGAGTCACAACTCTGAGTTTCACGCTGAGCGCGATCGTGAAACTCAGAGTTGTGACTCAATTTTAAGTTAAAATACTATTTGCTCTGTTAAATTCTTGATGTTGAGCACTCTTTTTACACTATATAATTGAAATATTATTATTATTATTATATATATATATATATATATATATATATATATATATATATATATATATATATATATATATATATATATATATATATATATATATATATATATATATATATATATATATACGTATATACGTATATACGTATATACGTATATATGTATATATGTATATATGTATATATGTATATATAATATAATTATGTATATATGTATATATGTATATATGTATATATGTATATATGTATATATGTATATATGTATATATATGTATATATATGTATATATATGTATATATGTATATATATATATATATATATATGCTGTTGGGGCGACCAGTGGAATACATGATAGTTTTGGAGTTGAAGCTGGTCTAAAATTCTTTTTAAAATACTAGAATATGTACAATAAAAAGTCTAAAAAAGTTCTAAATTTTCGGTTGCTAACTGCAACCTTCATCAGAGTACTAAGAGCAGTTCGGATATTTCAAGGTTTTAAATATCGTCATTATTGCCACATGATTGCACAAGCGATAAATACATGCGTGGGAATTCTTTGTGTTCGTTAATTGTTTTATTGTCTAATATTGAATGCATCGACTCGAGGAACGTTCGTTTTTCTAAATTATGTACTCTTTTCTCTAAGATTGTAGCATTGTTAATACAGGCATTATGTCCTGTGCTCGCTGCGTGGTCTTTGATTGCTGACTTAATCTCCGGTCTTACGCCTGGTTTGTGTTCTGCCCAACGTGATTTCCACGATCTCTTACTTTCTCCAACATACTTAAATGAGCAATCTGGACATTCGAATTTATAAACAATGCCTTTAACCTCCGTGATTCCGTGATCTTCTGCTTGTCTTTTGGTTTACCAAAAATGTCCCCTAAGCATGGCATGGGTTTATATATTGTCTTAATACCAGCACTTTTAAGCAGCTGTTTTATCTGTTCTGATATGCCTTTCATGTATGGAATACAAGATAACCCTTTAATTTCCGGTTCGTCATTAGTGTTGGAAAACGACCTGCTGGAACATGTCTGGAAGATGAATTTCTCTGGATATCCGTTGAGCTTTAATTCTTGGACAACACATTCCTTTTCTTGCTGTTTTTTATTGTCAGTAGAAGGAATGCTGTCGGCTCGATCAAGTAAGGTCTTAACTACGGCTCGCTTACTTTGGGTGGGATACCACCGATAAACCATCGATAAACCACCGATAAACCATCCAAAAGCGTGGGCAATCGTAAGAAAGACCGGGTGGTCTTACCTTCGTGTTTTGATAAGTAATTGTCATCATAAACTTATTAGTCTAAGGAACGAATCTACAGAATTGACCAAGACCTTGTCAACAATGGTCGATCAAGACAGCTTATCGAAGTTGGACCAAGCAATCTCTAGTCGGTGTGGTCACTTGAGAAGCACTATTATAGAAAGACACGAGAAAAAGTCACGCTGGCGTTCAACATCTGAGAGTGAACATAACATCATGAACAAATGGGTCGTTAATGTCTCACAGCGAAATTTGTCCAACAACGAAATAGATTTGTTAAGAAAGGGTCTAAATTTTGTCGGAACTCCGAGACGTGTACCAAAGAAAGAAATACTAGCGTCGGTTGAACAAGGTATCAAGGATCTTACAGAAGAAGCAAAAAACGACATACGGGCTGGCGTCTTCTCAATTTTGAAACATGCTAAACCCCTCTCAATACAGAATTTAACTCGGGGCGAAAGGAAAGCAATTAAAGACTTGAAGTCAGAGGACACGATTATCATAACAAAAGCTGACAAAGGAAATGCTGTGGTTATAATGGATAAGGCAAAATATACTGAACAAGTAAACGAGATGCTTGGAGATCAAACAGTTTATACACGCATCACCGATAAGAGAAGAAATCCCACCAAGCAGACGGAAACTGTCTTAGAGAGTATACTGAAAGAGCTTCGACGCTCGGGAAACATAACTGATAGAGAATATTGGCAGCTACGAGCTTTTGATTCTTCCCCTGCTACATTTTATGGTTTGCCAAAAGTCCATAAAG